TGATATATAAATTATGTTTGTAAATTTTTAAAAAATTTAAAAATTATTTAATATTTCGTTTAATCAATTCAAATCGATGGATAATTATAAAAATATTTTATTAATTAATTTAAATTAATAAAATGAAGTATTAAAAAATTAAATTTTTAAAAATTTGTAAATTTAATTTATGTATTAAAAATTTTTAATTCAATAATTAAATTATTAAAATTTGACGTAAAAAATAAATTACTAAGTAAAATGAGTCTAAATTGATTTAGACTTAGAGTTAATGGATTTTATATTGAGAAAAAAAATGAGATATATGTGTACTTCAAATGTAAGTTTTGCTAGACTTATTTCACTCAATATCAAACACCATCGATCTAATAGTTGAATTAAAATTTTTAGTACATATATTTAGTTTGTAAATTTTAAAAAAATTAAAAATTGTTTGAAATTTTGTTTCATTAATTCAACTTAACATATAGAATATTTTTATAATTACCCATCAATTTAATTAAAGAAACGAAATATCAAATAATTTTAATTAATGAGACGGAATATTAAATATTTTTAATTTTTAAAAAAATTTATATATTTGATTTATACATTAAAAACTTTTAATTTAACGATTGAGTTATTAAAATTTAATATAAAATATAAGTTATTGAGTAAAGTAAGTGAATTTTTCTTGTCTTTATATACACACATAAGAGGAGGGATCCACTTATTCTAAAATTAAATTTTGATATACTTATTCTACTAAATAACTCATATTTTATATAACATTTTAACGATCCAACAGTTAAATTAAATTTTTTTATGCATAAATTAAGTTTAAAAATTATAAACATATGATACTTCATTATATAAATCAAATTAAAATATAAAATATTTTTATTATTTATCAATATGAAATTAATAAAATAAAATATCAAATAATTTAAAAAAATAAAAAAAATTTATAAAATTAATCTATACATTAAAAACTTCTAATTGAACGATTTAATCGTTGATTTAATCGTTGAAATTTAATGTAAGAAATAAGTTATTAAATAAAGTAAATTTTAATTTTCTTTTTGGAATAAATAGATTTATTTTCTATATATGTGTGTGAGAGAATTTTGTCCACACATTATTCACACTGAATTTGAAATGAAAAAAATAATATCCCATCTGTCTTATATTAAGTATGTATCCTTCTAGTTTTATATATATATATATATATATATATATATTGATTCTTATAAATAAATAAAAATAAAATTTATTAAAATTTATTTTGTAACTAATCTTCTTTATAAAAAATGATGCAAAGCAAAAATATTTTTTTATATAATAATATTAGGAACATAAATATAAAAAAATAAGTAATTAATACTGTATTAAAGAACTAACATCTTATTATAAGACTTATTTTTCTTTTAATGTGACACTTATTATAGAATGACAGAAGTAATAGAATATTTATGTAAAAACTTTAAGGAAGAATATTTTTAAATAGTAATATGTTCTGATGTTTTAAAATTATAATTAAAAATGAATTTTAAATTATTCTGTGAAATTTTAGTAAATATTTTTAAAAAACGTAGTAGACTATAATTTTTTAATCTTACATATTAGCCATATATATTTATATGTAGATTATCACTGGATATTAAAATTCTTATTAAATAATAATATTAAAATTAGAAATTTTTTAATATAAATAAACCTGGAAAATTAAACTTCAACTTTTTTAACAACTTAAATATATTTCGGGGAAAAAATTAATATTAAGAGCTGCTAGGAATTATTTTATAAATAAATAAATTTTAACTAAAATCTTATTTAATTTATTTTTGTTTTCTTTGTTTAAAATATTTATAGAAAAATTTTGGAGTACAACATAATCACTATATAATTATGGTGTTTTGCAAGTCACGGGCGTTGCGTCGGTGAGCAACTCTGTTGGTGGGTAGCCCATTCTTATTTTATTTTCACTTCTTTCTCATCTCTCATCAATAAAAATTAAAAGTAATTCATCATTAAATTAATAAAATATGCACAAATTATAAATATTAACTTTTCTTAAACGTGAATCAAGTTTAAGCGTTTAAAGTCATCCAAAATTTTAAATTTAAATCTCTTTATCATCATTATACACAGATAAAAATATTCTCTCAAAAGAAGTTAAAAAAAAACAAAAAAGGGAAAAGGAAAATACAATCATATGATGGAGTCATATTGACTAAGGACTACACATATAAAGAATACAAACGTGTACTCTTTCTGGACTGAAATATAATATTATATATATTAAATTAGTTAATTAACATCATTTAATTAACTTTTCTTTCTTAATTATCCTTTATTAAAACTTGTTATGAAGAAAACCTCAAAATCCTAATTTTCAATTATCTGAAAATGTTTAACATTGAAACAAAACAAAGGGCCCAAAAAGATGTCAACAAATTAAAGCCCAGATAACAGCAGTCCACACAAACACATATGGTACTTGTAAATTCTAAGACAGTATCTTAAGATTCTTAACATCCTAAAAATTATATGAACACGCTGGGGTAGGCCCACTACCCAAAGAGTCCTACGGTTGTTTGTGTAAGCTTGAAATCATGCCCTAAACCCAAAAAATAAAAGGAACGAAAAATGTACTTGATGGTGCCTTGAAAACCCTGCACTTTATTTGCAATATTTTTGTTTGACATCACTTGCATGAGAAGAAAAAAAAAACAAGAGGAGGAATTGAATACAATGGCATGCATTAATCAAAAGGGTGCAGAAAGGGGTTGCTTAAATAGGTTTTCAGTAGTGCAAGCGCATTGGCAATGGCAACCTTTGTCGTCAGGGATAGTCTCAGACTTCTTCATGCAGTCAAGAAGAAGCTTCTCATGAGTTAGGGTTCCATTTTCATCATCCTCCTCCTGTATTGGATGAATCAGTCCCTTCATTCACAAACATTAAGCAAAAAATAGTAAGCACATGTATTGCTACTTTCAACAAAGTCCTTCAAATTTCATCTTAGTAAAACTTATCAAGTCTGTGTGGCTTTTCCTTCAATGGGCCAATTTATTTATTTATTTTATTCATGTAGTGTCTCAACATTGATAATTAAATATTAATTTGAACTTATAAAAAGTAACTTTTATTAGTCAAATAACTTGAAAGCACTAATTTAACTCTTTATATCTCAAAATAGGCCTTAGAGTCAAGAAACTTGATTATAAACAGATTTATTTATATTTAATAAAGATATAAAATTTGAATCTTTAATTATTTTTCCTTAGAGGAAGAAACAAATAGATTTTGTAAAAAATGTATATATGTGCATTCCTAATATACAGATACACATTAATTGGAAGGTGTTTACATGGTCAACCTTTCATCTTGAATAATTGTATACTTTTGATGAAATTTGAAGAAGTAGTAGTATAGTACAAAATAAAGTAAAGATATGCATATGATTGGTGTATATGGATTTTGGCCGCCTTTAGTTATGATGAGAAGAAGAAGTACACTGAACATGTGTTGTGGGCTTTACTTCCACTTCCTCAGAGGGATGGGACCTCTTTTATTAAATGAGAGTACAACAAATACCGATTATTGTACTAGGTGACCTAAGTATGTTGCCCTATAGGTTGGGAATTAATTAATTTCACTATTCTCTTACTATAAATTTATGATTGTTTAAGTAATTTGCATTAGTAAAACTGTGAATAATCAGCAACTTGATTTTCTATGTTCAAATAATCACAAGTTAAATCTAAGTTTATATTTGAGGCAGATAATAATTACATCAGTACGGAAGATAGGGGCTTTTTTAAAGGAGGGTAACCGGATTGCGATTTACTTGGAAACTCAGTCAACCTAATCTAACTACATTTTAATATGTTAACTTGAGTTCATTTCAGCTGACCTTATTATAATTGGATTAAATGTGAGGTTAATGAGTTTCAAATCTGTTTTTAACTTATATGTTAATGAGGTATTACTATTTTAATTAGTCAATTGGACTATTGAATCTAAAATAAGCAACCCTTCCTCATTTCTCGTTATTGATTTAATTATCAACAAAATCCAACAGTAAATACTGGATTCACCGGTTATAAAATTCTTCTAAGCACATACACAAAAATGTTTTGGGATTGGAAATGATACCTCAATAAACAGAGCTGATGCTTCACATGGTTCCAACTTTTGAACAACCTCTGCAGCTACTTCCTGCAAGAAACAACAGAATATTAGGAAATTTAGCCTCCAAAGCAAACTCAATGAATGAATAGTGGCGTAAGAAGTTATGTACCCTTGCTTGTGTGAGCTGCACTTGATTCAGTGTCCTAGGCTCCAACTCAATGGGGCAAGAAGTGTTGGCCATAATAAGTAACAAATAAACTCAGATATGATCTCCAAACTAAATAATTTCATCAGTTTCAATTGTAGTCCATCACCTAAAGCAATATATATTGTGTTTTATATAACCAACAAGAAGCATGATATTTTTCAACACATTCACGGGCTCTTTGTGTTGTGCTAACAAGTTTGTGGCCAAAATTAAGACAAACATGTTTCATATCCCGTGGCTTAGTTAAGGATAAAGTTTCATCCTTGCTTTTCACTTCAAATGCTCTTACTAATCATTTCACGGTCAGTATCTATGTTTGGTGTTTACGAAGTGTTTCATTGGTTGGATTATTGTGGCCAACAAGAAGCAGAGGGAAAAGGGTGCACGTGCACATCAGACTTTGATACATACTTTTTTATTGACTGGTATTTTGTGCGACTTAGGTTACCTTCATGCGTTCCTTACATATTAAGGGCAAACAGAAATGTAATCACAAGCAGCATATTCTAATTTGATTTGACTGTTCAAAGGTTAGAAAGGTCACTGGATTCTTCAATATTTTGCCTTAGATATTAAGGGCCATGATCAATCCTACTTCTTAAGAATTTGGCTTTAGTTGTGATAATTAAAGTCATAATTTCAAAAGAATAACAATATAGATTTTTTATTTGGTTTTAGACCTGTTCTGCACTTCCTGCAGTGTAATACCAATTTTGGACATGGGAAAAAGGGTCATTACTATTGGGAATAGGAGCTAAGAGTTAACCTTTAGGTCCAATTCTTAGGATCCATGTTGAGAAATAACGTTTGCAAAATTAAACTTTGGAATTGTAGTTGTGAACCTAGCTAGTGCTACAAACACACACTATTCACTGAGTTACAAGTATGAGCATACAATTATGTCAAATAGTTAGGCCCAAAGAGCGATGGTTGTGGTTGATTTGGATCATATAATGACGAATTAATAAAATATGGGCTAAGTGAAACTAGATTCTCTGAAACCTTTTTTTTTAAATACCCTAAAATTTGCAGCTTTCTTTGGGCTGAAGAAAAATAAATTCTCTCTTTCACTTGGTTTATAATAAACTACCTAATACTTTTCCATTACTAAGTAGAGCTAGCATTTCTCGTTGAACCTTTTCTGAATGAAATATCTTTTCCTTTCTTCTTTACTGTAAATCATAAAACATATCATGCTATCGACACAAGTTTGACTAAGTAATTATGCACGACACTGTACATTATAAGTGCCTTAACAATACCAATAATTATTCATGGACACAGCACACAAGACACCTAACATCTAAATGACACCAAAAAGTGAAAAAATGTAAGTATAAATGAGATACAATAAAGGAGAAAAATAATAATAATAATAATAATAATAATAATAATAATAATAATAATAATAATAATAATAATAATAATAATGCGTATTAACGGAGTATTTGATATATGTGAGTATTAATGTGTCATTGCTCTAAAAATACCAATAGAACTCCTGAAAAACATATAGTCAGTTAATCTGGCATAGCTAGGGCATAGCCATTTTGCATTTCAATTTTTTAGCAAACAAATTGAATACAGTGACGACCAAACTGGGTCATTATTCCTTACCATAAAGCAGGTCAAACACATACATGTTCATTTTTTTTCTCTCATGTGGAGTTGTATAGGAAAATATACAGTAGCAGTAGGTGATAACTCTAAGTAGTTGAAAATTAAGGTCTATGATCGATGCTATTCTCTCTATCTCCTTTTTTAATTTAGACATAGGTTGCTATTTTATGTAATACATGGCACCGATCGCGCATATGTATTTGTTGTCACCTTTGATTTATGTGAACTGCGTATTATAATATTTGTTTTGCCAGTTAATAAGGTCAGAACCTAATTCCATATATTTCAAGCAAATCGCAAATGGCATATCCTTAGCACGTGAGGGGAAGGTTAAAAAATTTGCAAAAATAGGCTTCTTCTTCTAATCTCTCTCTTAATTTTGACCTTGCCATTTTTCCATATGCATGCCCTTTGATGAAACAGTATACAATTTTTATTTTTATTTTCCTTTTCTATACAATGAAAAGTTGTTCCTCAAAGGTGTGGTTAATTTAGTTAATCAAACTTTTAAATTAGTCAAATAAATGAAAGATTAGCTTAAAAATCTTCTCAAATATACTTCTATAATGCTAAATGTTAGTGATTAATCAGTGGTATATTTTCTTTCTATATTATTATTATTACTATATTATTATTATTATTATTATTATTATTATTATTAATGCATGCGTGATTTCTGTCAAATTTTGATACTCTTATTGACATGTACCAATAAAATAAATAATTATTATTTAACGAAGTTATATCAGTATTTTAAATAATTTTTATTTTTATTTAAACTTTTATATTATTTGTGTTTAACTCTTTGTTTATTATATTTTAAAATTAATAATAATAATTATCAATTTAAAATTGTTGAATTTGTTGAGGGTGACAAATTTTTGATCAAAACCCTATTTTTTTTGTCAAAATGTGTTATACACGAATTTTCAATCAAAGGGTGTTTTATACAATTTTTCAATCAAAGGATATTTTATCTGGTTTATGATCAAAGAGTATTTTACATTAAAATCATACAATTCTTCATAATAAAGAAGTTCGTTTAGAGTGTGAATGCAATTTTTTTTTATCAAAGGGTGCGATTTTCTGATCAAGTGGCACAATTTTTCAATCAAAGGGTGTTATTACGCAATTTGTTGACCAAAGGATTTTTTACGTTGTTTTTGATCAACACTAAAACTCTACAATTATTTTCGATGAAATCGTCTTGTTTTTCATGCTATATCCCATCTTTGTGTTAAACAAGTTAAACATTATTCCACTATGTGATTTTACCAAGTGACATTGAAGTTCTTACCTTCATTGCCATCATCAAAGCGCACCAAAAGCATATCACCAACGCGATACTCGATCACGCCTTAAAATTTCCTTTGAATTTTTTCACGCCATGGATAGAACTTTTTTGGATTCGAAACTCCTTTGTAAAATTAAAATTAAAAATTAATATAAGTATTTAAGGATTAAATTAAAAATATAATAATTTTAGTATTGAAATGTAAAATGATAACACATAGCAAAATTGATAATATGATTGTATTTAAATACTTACAAGTACGGTAAAAAATTTATAAATACTTTCATGTGTCATAAATAATTTCTTGGTAAAAGTGTAATGTATTATTTATAACAAATGGAATATTATTTGTATACAATTTGACTTCCTATAAATATGGAGAGAACAGCACATGGAAGAAGTGAGAAACCAGTTATTCAGACAACTTTCAATTATAAACTTCCCCGTATAAAGTTCCACAGTCTCGTAATTTGTTTTTGTTTTTCATTTTTTTCATAACTCAAAGTAAACATTAACTCCCTAAATAAAAATTACAGATAGGCATGCATTTGAGCTAGTTGTTATCGACCTTATCCATGAAAGGTTGGAGCCAAATCACGTACAATGAAAGAAGTTTACACAAACCAAACAACTTTTCCAAGAAGCCATAATGTTGCTTGCTACCTTTGTTTATCACCTAACGACAATGACTCACCAATAACCCTCTACATGTATAAACCCGTGCTTTATGCTATAACAAATTAAAATCCTTCTTCAAAACAATTGTCGAAAATTACATACCTTTTTTTATATAGAATTTAATAAATAAATAAAACAAATTTCCGTTAATTGAGATTATTTTCCTCATAATTAACTAATAAAAAATGATCTCAAATTTTTTTACATGTTAACAAAATATTTTTAAAAATTTAATAAGAATGTGAAAGGTTGAAATTACGAGGAGAGCCGAGGGTGTGGCATTTACAATTTGCATTAGCAAAAGAGGGAAGTAAGAAGCAGCATGCAATAATTGAAAAGAGGGGTCACAGGGACAAGAACCCATTATGAAGAGCATCGTCGTTTATATTACTTACACACAGAGAACATGAAAAGATCCCCTTGACAATGGGGCATGCAGCCATATCGTTAAATTTTTGGATATATTATGAGCAACACATTACACAGTAACAGTCATGCACGTCACGTACCACATGTGCTTGGTTTCATCACCCACATGCATGCCCCTCTTACCCATTCATCATCTGTCCCTCTTCTTCTTCTCCCTTCTCACTTCTCATCCACTCTCAACTCTCAATTCACCATCCTGTAAATAAATTAATACCCACATTGCATGCTACACTACACACTAATGCGTACATACACTGTACTTCCTCTGTACTCTTTCTTCAAAATGTACTCGCTTTCTCTAAACCTAAACTCTATTCTCTTTGTATAAATAAGCGAGCCATGTAACTCATTGCATCATCAAAACCCTCATCACTCATCACTCATCACTATTCATTTGCAAGACTCTGGATAAATATCACTGTTTTTCCATGTCTAAGACCAGTTTTCTCTTTTCTATAAATATCTCAGATTCTTATAAATAAAAAGAAAAAAGTAAATCTATGGTGAAACTCATAAAATGAATTAAAAACTTATGTTAGATTATTTTATTGAAACAAAAAATAGAAAAAAATTCTTAAATCGTGAAGGCCACACAAAGGGTGTATTAAAAATTCAAAATGAGTTCTAATGTTCTAACATCCTTAAACATTATATTAACTTCTAAATTATTTTTTTAAAAAAAAAACATTGTCTGTTACTTGCTTACAGTTCAACTTTTTTTTTTCCCTCTTGCCAATTATTGATTGAAAAACTTTCATATAACCGTTTGTAACAAAGATTTGGTAAATTACAATTAATACTGTTTCCTTTTTCGGCTTTGAAAATTAAAAGTGAGAATCACATGGTGTTCAGTGTTCTAAACGTATAACAAACATTAGCAACGCATTTTTTTTCAAATACTTATTATTAACCGGAAATTATTTAAACTTAATTAGTATGACCGAAAATTTTTAATTATATATATGATTCATTTTGTGATGTAAAATATATATATATATATATATATATATATATATATATATATATATATAATTGTTACATAGTTTAAGGACAGATGTCAAGTGCATCAAGCCAATTCAAATAAATTTATATATCCTTCTCTCTCTCTCATATAAAAAAATTCGATTTTTCACGGGTATCTTCATTTGTCACATTCTTTGGGTGATAATAGTTATTTT